TTAACAGAAGGACTAACGGAGTGCATTTCGTATAGTTGAGGGATCAAAAAAGTGCAAAAAATTCTCAAGGGACCAAAAATGTGCAAACCACTAAAGTTGAGGGACCAAAATGAGCATTTAACCTTTTTTATTTTGTTTCTTTTGGCTAGCTTAGTTTTCATAAAAGGAAGGTGGAAATTTTTTATATGGTTTGTGTATAAGAGCTATAGAATGTACTTCCAGGTCATATTTGTATCCTTTTCGTGGCTTTCTACAACTTAACTACGGAATTTTAACCTGGGACCCTGCTCTTTCATTATCTAAGAGAAGAGGTAATTCTATCTAAAGACTGGAAGATCATCTTATTTAGGTACCATTCTTAGTTTGCCTAATTCCTTTAAATTTCCATGTGTTCATTCTCTGTTAATTTGTTCTAACAAATAGGAAGATGTTCATGTAAAGCTTTCTGTAGTAAATGAAAATTAAAGAACATGTTCACCTTCCATGGGAAGAATTTCTTATGGTGAGGTTGCAGGTTGCAACTTTTTATCAATCTGCAAATGGGCCTAAATTGGACAATTGTGTAGAAAATTTGTAGTAATGCTACTCACTCAATAATATTTTGGTTCTCACTTTTTCCTAGCTCCTTTTTAAAGGGAACTAATGTTCTTGCCTTATGTTTTTTTGCTTTACAGTCGTTAATTTTGGAGCACTTCAGTCCTTCATCTGTTTACCATTTAAAATCCCTATAATGGACACCCAACCAAAGTACATCCTTCTCCAAATTCATGTTACTATTTTCCTTTGAATAGAATAGGAGTTGAGAATGTTTGCTCAATTCGGCATGTGGGACCATTTTCCATTAGATTACTAAACATAAAATACAAATATTGATGTGGAGAAGAATGGATCAATTGCATTTGAGGAGGTTGTTCTCCCTACATCATTATTTTACCTATTTATGTCCAATTGACCTTAAAGCATTTGTAAAAATATAGTAGGACTTCGATGCATTAAAGGAAAGTCATATGTAATCAACCTCAAATAATTTTGGGCTACAAACTTAGTTGAGTAGTCAACAGTAGGCACTGTGATGGTCTTGGTTGATTTAGAACTGTGATTGTTTTATAGATTTGTGAATTTCTTAAAAGGATGCCTTGGGTTATTTGGCTTTTGGACATTATGTATATAGCTAACTTAAAGTGTCGTACTGAGGAGATCAATCAATTGGTATCAGATTTTCAACTTTCTCTCTCTTTGTTTTATGCAAATAGAATGGTGACATATTTTAATAACAAGCTATTATTATACAAGGAAGGGGATGACTGATGGGTTTGAGGAGGTGGAGAATGTTTTGGAGTTCTAGAGTTGTAGTCATTGTTCTTTTTATTGTCACTTACTGCTTGAGTTTTTTCCCTTGAATATTTTTTCAACTTGATTTCTAAATTGTTTTTATCTATTTATTGTATCTTTAATGAACAAGTAATGTGGATGAAATGTTAATTTGGCCGGTTAATTTTGATTTTGGGGTATAATATGATAACATGTTTTCTCTTTTATTTCTTGGTTCTCTATTTTCAACAATGGGATGTGTTGTTTACAATGTCTTATGACAGTGTTAGCAAATGAAAGTTTATAAATAAATTTCTGTTTACAAATTGTCATGAAAAATGGATTAATGCAATGCTGAGTGGATAGATAATTGATAAGGATTTTGCTTTCTATAATTTTTTTTCCCTCTCTCTCTTACTATTTCCTTCAAGTTTTCAATGTACTGGTAGGTTTCCCGTTCTTTGTTTTAAATATCATTCACAGAAACATGATTCCAGTCCTATTTATGCCTAATTAAGTGAGAACCATAATTCCCTAAAAACTACATCTGCTAAAAATGGCATTGGCAGCCATACTCTCTCCATCATTCATCTTTTGCAGTAGGGTGCTAAGAGAAAAGTTGGAAGTCTCCAATTTGGTTTTTGTTTGAAATCTTAAAATGGGAAACTTGGTTGGGTTGAGCTAAGCACTCAAATTGTGTTTATGTGAAGAAGCTGTTTTTTTTTTTTTTTCTTGGCAAGATTTGGTTTTTGAAACCAAATAAGTATGATATTATTTAGTTAATGAGGAGATGGAATTTTTGTTGATTCTTATTTACTTTTTGGAATCTTTTCTTGTAATTTCTTCTTGTGACAATTAAATTCAAGATTAAGTGAACAATTTTTTTTTACTAAAATGGATATCTAGAACTAAAAGATTCCTAACTTATTATGGATTCCAGTTTTCGACCATTTGGGGTCTTGAGAATCAAGAGTGGCAAATGGAAGAAATTCAATTCCAATCAGATAATTATAGGTCTTCTTCCTCATCACTTGGCCATTTGTACATCCACTGTGTTCTAAATTCATTTACGTAGAAAGGATGACATATAAACATATTATGTCAAAATCCACGAGCTTGAAATATGCACCCACACCCCGCAGAGCGGGGTGGAGCAAGCTAGTAATATATAATAAATGCCTCCAAGACCGGAAGAGTTTAGAGTGAGGCGTGCTTTGCGCTTCGGGAAACATGAAACACAGAGAGAGGGGCTCTCAACTCCCAAAGCCCAAAAGAAACACAAGCCCCTTAAGCCTAACTGAGTTTAGCATCTTCTTCGGGCCCGTCCATGAACTCTAGTGGATCGAGACTAGTCAAAGAGCTCAAGAGTAAGACTTCAAGAATTAACTGATTAAGAATTTAATATTTTAAATTAAAATTTTCATATTTTTAACCTTGATGACAGGTAAGATTCGGGAGGGATTTGGGAGGAGAGTGGATATTTCATTATCAAATGTAAGAACAAAAATAAAAAAAATCAAGACTCAAGACCATGGGTCGGGTTGGGTGATCCACTGACTAGATCGAGACGAAATAGTTTTTGAATAATAATATTATAATTATAATATTATGTAAAATTATAAATTTAAATATATGATATGATATTAAATAAATATATTTAATATTATGAATAAATTATTATATTAAAAAATTAATTATATATTAATACATTATATTATTCACTTAAAATGCAACATAGTATTAGAACTATTAACATTTTTGTTTTCCATTGCTAGGAGGGTGAAAACTACACTGATGAGATGAGACTCATCCCTTCTCCAGTCTCCTTCTCTTTTCTTTTCTTTTCTTTTCTTTTCTTTTTTAACGGAGGTAATTTTAAAGGAAGGGGGATAATTTAACTAGTATTACAAGGGATAGAACTCTGATATTTGGCAAGGGTCTGATGCACCTTAACCGTGCTCCAGTCTCCTTTTCTTTGCTCCTCCCAAAACTGAAGCAGAAGCTTCCGATCCTCAGCTCCGACGACTTCATTCCCTTTCCGTCCACTCTAACAGAGGCTTGCGATCGTTTCTAAGGTCATAAAACAACTGCTCGCCATCGTCTGTACACTTCCGCAGCAACTAGTACCATCATCTCTCTTTTTCTTGCCTGAATTGCTGCCTCAGCAGTCTTTACCATATTAATGGCAGCCAAACGGGTGCTGAGCAGTGTGGAAAACATCAATTGCATACCGGATGAAGTCCTTTGCCACATCCTCTCATTCCCTCTAACTAAAGATGCAGTGCGGACATCCTTTGTGTCAAGAAGGTGGAGGTATCTTTACACTTTGGTTTCTAATCTTGATTTTGAGTTGCGGCCTGATTACGGTGATGATTTAAGTGTGAATCAACTGATGAATTTCGTAGATAGAATATTGCGCTTCCATAACAGACCATCTGTAGTTAGATTTCGTCACAAGTGCATTCATTATAATGAGGGTATTGGTACTCCACAATTTGACACTTTGCGAATTGATGGATGGATTCGTGCTGTAATGTGGCATAGTATTCAAGAGCTTGAGCTTGACATAACCGAATTTGATATCAATCTTGAGTTCCTGCCAGCTAGTTTATTTACTTGTGAGACACTGGTGGTCCTGAAATTGTGTTTGGTTTCGGGTTATGACCGTTTTGAGTTCCCATCCAAGGTATGACAGTTTTGAGTTCCCATCCAAGGTTTGTCTCCCAAGGCTTAAGATTCTTCACGTTTGTGTTGGATTCTCAAATGCTGAATCTGTGGAAAAGTTGTTTTCTGGTTGCCCAGTTCTTGAGGATCTGATTCTGGATGATTGCTGTGCAAGATATGACTGTTTAAAATTCAAGGTTTCTAATCCTATCATCAAGAGACTTATCATAAGAAAGATGAGATATGAAGGAGTGACTCCACAGATTGTGATCAATGCCCCAAGTCTTGTCTGCTTCAGTTTCTCTGAGTCGGAATTACATCACCTTGTTCTTGTAGACATGCAATCTCTTGGTGAAGCAGTTACAGATTTTAATTTTTGGTTTGATTCTGCAAATTATGCTGCAGCGGTAAATGATCTTCTGGCAGGGATAACAAGTGTTCGATCACTTCAAATTTCCATTCAGACTCTAGACCATTTTTTAATAGCTTCTCTCTGATGCTGCTCTCTCCAAGCCTCCGCAACTTATTATGAGTAGTATATTTTCTAGTTACTAGTTTAAGAGTTTAGTTGATTTGTTCAACTAACTAAAACTTTCCCTTTGTTCTACTCTACAGTGTCTCCAAGACTGTCAGGCTCCTATCTCTTTGTGGAGTAACATGACTCGCCTGAAAATTTTTGGTCTGACAGAGTGTTATGACTTTGCTTGCCTGCAATACTTTCTTTCATGTTCTTATTGTCTAGAAACTCTAATTATTGAGGTATAAATTCAAATATGAACTTATATTTCTTGTAGCCAACATTTAGTGGTATTTATGACCAGTTATGTTTTGTCATCAGTGGGTTACTAAAGATTGGGATCTTTATTTTGGGCTAGATGTTGCTTGTTTATCCTTTCATCTCAAGACAATTGAAATCTTGTCATTCCAAGTGGAGGAAGCCGGTACGAAAATGGTTGAGTTCTTTTTAAGTAATGCTAAGGTTCTGGAGGAGATGACAATTCATATTGTAGCGGGGAAAAGGAACAACAGTCGAAGGTCACTAAGGAGTTGTTGACATTATTAAGGGTCTCTTCAAAATGCCAAGTCAAATTGCTTCTTTGAGGAGTCCTCTTTTCTTTTAACGGGCATCAATATTTTGATGCTGCTCTTGTGCTGGATTGGGTTTTAATTAAGCACCTGATGGGTCGAGTTATAAAGGGAGTCTTGCGAGTCACTGCTGTGTTCTGTTTTCCTTTTTGCCCCAATATCTCACAGACTGCCTAAAGGCATAGAAATGGTGTTATGGAAGAAATTGCTGGCTTTCCTGAAAAGTTGGAGTATTTCTAATGTTTCATTATCTTAGTTATTCTATCTCATCATACTCTATTGTTTGTTACATTAAAATACTTTGCTTGGTAGATACATTTTGTAAAGATGTATGGGTGCAGTATATTTGCTATGAATTATTGTAAGAAAAATGAGTTATACCCAGAGATAGAGTTTTATGTTGTCACATTATGAGCTGGTTATGCTTTTGAGTCCTTTATTTCATCTAATACTTGGAATATGACATCAACATTTTGCATTTTAACAATGAGTGCTAGCCATGAAGAACCATGAAGGGAGCAAATCATTTTCAACACGTTCATCTCCTTGGCCTCTCAAAGCTTCCAGTTGTGGCAAATCACCTTTTTAAAAATTTTTTTTTTTGTTATCCCGTATGTGGGTTTTAAGAAAATAAATGAAGGTTAGTGGTATATAATTTTCAAGTGAATTGTTGGGACCTCTTTGATGGATAATTTTTTGCTTCCTTTTCTTCTGAAAAGGGGAGGAGGTTCTTTATTTATTTGTTTATTTGTTGTTTCAGTTTCTTCAACACATGATATGGACTTAAGCTTACCTGCACCCAAGATTTAGAAGATTTTGGATGGCAATGATGTTGGTGATAGGGAAGACAAGATCAGCAAGCTGCACGATGAAGTTCTTTCTCACACATTCTCATTTCTCCCGTACAAAGACGTTGTTAGAACTAGCATTTTTGTCAAAAAGATGGGAATATACATGGACATCTTACCCCAATCTTGAGTTCACTGATCAGTTTATTGACATGGAGGATTGGTTTATATATGTTGACGTTCTTGACTTCAACCGTAAATTCCCCCTGAATCACTCGATAAGTAGTTAATATTTACTAACAACATTTGGAATTTAAAAAAAAAAAACAAAAAATCAGTAATTTTTTCCAATTGTTGGCTGGATAAATAACTTTTTCCAATTTAGACTCCGATTTCTTGTTTCTACCCTTTTTATTTTTTTAATACTTCTTTTATTTCCTCAAATCTCAATCACTACCGAGCTTAAAATTTGAATATAAAACTTGTTTTTGCTTAGTCTCCAACCACCCAAGAAAGGCCCACAAACAAATAAGGTACAACTTTCCATTAAATATTTTCAAAAAAAGAAAAAAGGTACAACGTTGACCGTGAAGGCCTAACGCTTGTTTATATCCAGGCGGAAAAAAACCCGCCCATTTGAGGCGTCGTTTATTAGTGTGTCCTTCATTCTCTCTCTTGGCGGCGCCGCCGTAGCCAAATTTCGTCGGAATTCATCCTTAGCATCACCAGGTAATCTCTTTCTCTCTCTCCTCCATTGCATACTTTTATGTTTTCTCTCGCTAGGGTTTCACTTTCATAATCGCCACCATAGTCAAAATTTCCCCTTTGATTGAGTCTCTACCATAATTGTAGATTCAATCTTTAACTTTTGAAGCAGATAATCTGATTTCGCTTCAATCCAAAATTCTTTGTTTCTCATCCCTCAGTTATGGTCTCGTATCCTACACTAAAAACTTTCTTTTTCTGATTTAATCCACCAATTTTGTCTGTGTTACTGTGTTTCTTAAATGTTTATTGTGTGAATTTTTGTTTGCCCTTGGGTTTATTGCTAGTTCATTCCAAA